CATCAGTGCTATCAATAGCCCTTAGAGAATAGTTCCTCACTCTGCCTTTGATTTTCTTTGAGGTTTGCAGTCTGAAAGTGAGCTCGAGATATTGCATCTATCATTTTGCAATATCAGTTAGTCCACCCTCCTTTCCCTCAGCCTCTAATCAGAGTCTCTCTAGCTTCAGGGTCAGATCATCTCATCTATCCCACCATTGTTGATACAGATAATATTCATCAAGGTTTTCTTTAGGATCCTGGGAACTCAATGTCCTATGTATCACAGTGTCTACATGGTCACCACAGGTGTTATGCTCTACCCAGCTTTCAGTAATGCTAGCTTCGGCAGCTCACAAAGAAACCTCATAAATCTCTTTTTCCTCACTATATCGAGTCCAAGAATGACTCTCCTTCAACTTTATATGTTGTGGCACTCAGATATTTACCTATTTCTTTAGTGGCTGATCCAGAAGCCACTAAGGCCTTTTGACAGGGTTACAAGAACTTATACCCCTTTATCTTTTCATGGGAGCCTTCCAGGAACCTCAAGCTCATCCTCTTCCAGTGCCCAAACAAACCTTTCAGGTCTGTGACTTCATATAGATCTTGTGATGGAAGACAGCCTTTATTTTTGCAGCTCCATCTGTTAGATAGATGAGCAGTTGTGTGTCGTTTAGGTTGATCAACGCTACTTCTGTTTGCATCAACATGCCACTACCTGGACACAGCCTCTGACTTTCATTTCTCATTATAGAGTGGATTCTAGTAATAATAATAATAATAATAATAATAATAATAATAATAATAATCACCATCACCACCACCACCATCATCATCATCATCATCTTTATTTATACCCCACCACCATCTCCCCAGCGGGGACTCGGGGCGGCTTACATGAGGCCACGCCCAACAAGACACAGCAACAAAATAAAATCAGAACATAAGCAACAACATACCCAAAGAGACAATGCTTTTAGAAGAGCTGGTCTCATTTCATGTGTGGTATGACTTCAGTCTGTTTTCCTGTGTGGCATGACACCTGCTCCCTCGATTAGTAGCTTTTTAGTCACCCATTTGTGTGATTCTCAGAGACCATGAAGAAGAAAGACAGGTTGCCTATCTGCAACTGTGGTTCTTTAAGTGGTGATCTGTGAAATTACACATCCCTGCCCATCCACACTACTTTCTGTCCTGCCATCTTCAGTGTCCTTTTGCTGCTGTCACATGTGGTGTAGGACTGGGGCTTTCGTGGGACATGTCTACATATATGGGCTTGGAGAGTGGTCAGGTTTACCACCAAAACTGTATCTCTATAGCTTTAGAAGGTTCTGAGAGTACTTTGCGCGGGCACAGAATTCACTGCATTCTCTTTAGGAATCTCTAGGTCCTCTACTGTGGTCAACATCTATCATATGGTTATTTTGGAGGACCTAGAGATTCCTAGAAATAACACTTCTCTAAATATTTGTACATCCTCTAGCGTGATTCTTTGGTCACATCCAGCAGAGGTCGATCATAAAGTTGTACTGGAGGACCTAGAGATTCCTAAAGAGGTGTTTTCTCCAGTTAAAAAAAATGCCTTTTTGAATGTAGTTTTTCTATCGCACTCCTAATCTCAGTGAAAGTGGAGGACTGACATATTTTGGCAATATTCTGTTTTATTATTATTTCTGACATGGCTGTCCTGTTTCCAGAATCTGAGTGATCTGTCTTCCTTTTTTAGCCCTTTGACAGCTTTTCATGGTCATAGATGGATGCTTTTCTGAAATTGTACATTGTTCAGGAGCTCCAGTCACTCATTTCCTCTTTTGTCTGTATTCCTCCCTGGTTTTCCTGTCTGTCTCTCTGTTGACATCCCTGTCCATCACAATTTTTCTTGCCTCTCATCCTTGTTTATGCATCTGCCCCCCCCCCGATATTCTGTTGCTACTTCCCTTATGTGCATGCTTTGCCATGAGGCAGTACACAGTGAATTTCATCTTCCTGCTCTTCCTCTTGATCTATTATCTGCAGCCCCAGCCATAGTGATTGCTATTTGTAGTTATTTTCTGCAAAGTAAAGGGCATAAGGAGATATGGCAAAAGGGAGGGGTATTCCTAACAAAAATGTACATTTACATGACCACCTAAATTGCATTAACTTTTATTTTATTTTTTAAAGTGTTTTACAATCTAGTTTGAGGTTTTTAAAAATGAAATACAGAAATCAATATCATTAATATCAGAAGGAAATCCCACAAAGGAACAATGGTTAATGAAGGTCATGGAAGTAATGAATATGGATGAATGAACCCAACTTCTAAAGAGACATAATGGAAAACCAAGCAAAAAGATTGACGGGCACTTATTTTGGGATTATATGGAAAGAGAGAAGAGAATACTAATAATATAGCCAGCTCAACTAATACACTTCTCTAATACACTGACAAGGATATACCTGAGGAGGACAAAATAAGACTGATGTTTTTGGGAAATTATGGATTACCAGTATGGGAAGAGCTTGGAAGTACAATACTCCCCCCCCCCCCCCCGCTTATTCAATTCTTTCTTATTTTTTTATCTAATTTTTATTATTATACTCTGGTTTCTCTTCAGATCACATAAATCTTTCACCTTTCATACTGACTTTTGAAACTCAGTTTCAATCTTAGTTGATTGCATTGTTGGTATTAATTGACATCAAGTTGATCTTGACTTATGGTGACCCTATGAATAAGAGACATCCAGTCACCTACTGCCTTGCTCGGGTCTTGCAGCCATGTCCTCCTTGATTGTGTCTGTCCACCCATAATGAAGTGTTATTCTTATCCTACTACATTTCATTTTACTGATTTTCTTTTCTTTTTATGAATTACATTGGCCAATGATGCATCCAATGTATGATTGCCTCAGTTATCTTTTTTGCATAACCACAAAGCCCAAAATAGGTTTTAAAGGAATCATTGGTATGACTGTTTCTGAAAATGAATATATGTCCTCATATCAAAAGAATCCTCATAATATTTAGAGTTTCCACAATTCTAGAAGCATATGGCAAAAGCGTAGGGAAATTGACTGTAAAAACGTATAAGGGCAATGAGAGTTTACAGTTACGATGGAATTAAAAAGAAGAAATGTATTGTCGAAGGGTTTAATGGCTGGAATCACTGGTTTGTTGTAGGTTTTTCAGGCTGTATGGCCATGTTCTAGAAGCAATCTCTAGAGAGACTGCTTCTAGAACATGGCTATAAAGCCTGAAAAACCTACAACCCCAAAAGAAGAAATGTTTCCAAAACAGTATTGTCCCACAAGGAAAATAGGAAAGGTGTGGCCTTCTATCGGTAGAAATTGATCCTGCGAGAACTTCTGAAGCCTGTAGTTCTAAGTCCAGCCTCTGCTACTGCTGACTTTTTATTTTCTGTCCTGGATAAATTCAATGGCTGGAAAAAGGTGGTAAGTGGATACTCCTTCTCATAGCCTCCTTCCATATAGCTTCAAACAGGATTAGATATGACTCACATCTAATAATGCCAAGCAATCAGATGGAGTGCTCACTTTTTCAAGTGCACTAATTTGATTACTGTACTTGTCACGTTGTTCTTTCATGTTTAAGTGCTTTCCAAACAGAGATTCAAGGAAGTTGTGCATGTATGTGCATTTGTATTGCCATTCCTTCCAGCAACAAATCATAAGATAATGAGCTGCATCCTCTCTTCTATGATGGAAAGGACCTGTTTTCCACTTGTTGGAAAGAGTAATTCTCCCACCATGAACTGGCCTACTTCCCATTGACTAGTTTTTCATGAACTGGACACTTTTATTGTCTTAAAGCCTTGTGTTGTGATACATTTTTGCTACAAAATTAATATTGGCTTTAGTGCAGAACAATGAATTTTTAAAACTCATGAATTTTCAATGAATTTTTAAAATCTGCTCTGTACCTGGAAGAACAGGGAAAGAAACATTTAACCTGGGATTTCTGTACTGAATTCAATCAGACATAGTCAAGGAACTGGGAAGTTATTGGGGACTTTTGTTCTTAGATGTCAAGAGAGGGGTAGTTTGATGTCAGCAAGTTTGTGTATATATATAATGGGTGGAGATATGTGAATCTGTCTTAGGGTTGTTGATATTGATACACTCAGTAGCTAAATGATTTGACAGACACATGTGCTTGCAAAGCATATATTAAAAAGAATCATGTGGAAATATAAGCTAGTGAAAGAATTTCTATCCACTGCCTTGAAATCATTTATCACTCCATAAATATGTCTTTGTATAAGGAATGTTCTCCCTTTGTAGGTCCTTTTCTTACCATTTTAATGGTCTTCTTCCCCTTCTAACGTTTGCCTATTGTAGCGCTGTATTCAGCTACAGAACTTGGCAAAGTTCTTTTCATTTATATGGTTTGGACCTATGGAGGTTATATTGTAGATGATTATTGGTAAGCTGATTTAGGGCAGGCCCCTAGCCGTTTCCCACCTCAAGAACTGCTTGTTTGTTTTTCTGGTACTAAAACTACCTATTATCATTTCATGACCCCATAATGAACAAAACGACACCTGCTTTCCAACTGTTTCAATTTGGCAGGGAGAGTCTCAACTAGTCGTGTGTCACAGGACAGACATCTGCTGCATTGAAGGAGGCAGTGGTGTGCCATCTTCTGAACAGGGCCTCCCTGGACAGAGATATATGAGAACTACCACTAGATAGCAAACATCCCCTTTGGACAAGGCGCTTGGGCATATAGTGTTTGAACAATTTCAGGTGCTCTTGGAAGAAAGATATCATCTAGATCCATTTCAGTCTTATTTCATGCCAGTGTACATCACTGAAATTGCCTTAGTTGCTCAAATTAATGACCTATTCCAGAGGAAAGACAAGGGGAGTGCTACCCTGTTGATATTCCTGGACCTTTCAAGTCTTTTGATACCATTATTCATGGTATCTTGGCATCTTACTCTGTGGACATAGCTCCTCGTTCTGTTTCCTGCCATGAACAAAGCTGTATTTTGGTTCTTTCTCTTTTTCTCCACAGCTGCACCCAACACACATGTGGAGAACAAGGGAGCTGTGCATTCCCCCATATTCATCATGGTACTGTTGACAACTGCACTCTCAACTATCAAGGACATATGGAATGTACAATTTCTTGTGAAAATGGATTTGTACTCCATGATAACCATGGGAAATTGTTGCGCCCAGGACAGGTGAGTTGGGAGTCAGTTATTATAATCTGAACTCAATTTGTAAGGGGTCCACATGTTTTCTATGTTAGCAGTCAATTTGGAGCAAAATGATTCAGAATTTTGAAAATTATTATTCTCAGTACGCATTCAGCCTTTCAAAAATAGCTTTTCTTGTTTTCCTGTCAATTGTCTAAACCACCTTGTACTCCTATTGGATGTTTTCTCCATCCACTCCCATGTTTCCCTTTGTTTCTCACTGAGTAAATGACTTTAAATGTCTCTTTACACAGGCACATGTGAAGAGATGAAGAAATAACAAAATAAATAGTTTCTTCCCTTTCTTCCCTTTCCATTCTCAATTCTCCATTGAGCCACCTGAACAGCCATGTAGCCGGGGGTGGGGGGGGGGGGGGTGTGGTGGTGGCGGCTTTAAACATAACAGTTTAAATAATGGACCAGTAAGACCTTCTCGCGGACCACCCTGAGAATTTTGGCAGGGCTTGAGGGGCTTCAGCCCCCCCCCCCGAAATTCTCAGGGTGGTCCACGAAAAGGCCTTACTGGTCCATTATTTAAACTGTTATGTTTATTCGTATCATGATCTGATCACCATGCTCAATATATCCCATATGCATGGGGGTATTGGGATAACGATACAAAAGGTTTGCTAGGGTAGATCCTCAGCCCCCCCTCTTTGAATCAAACTTAGCCCCCCCCCAAATCAAACTCGGCACCCCCTGAATCAAAATCCTGGCTACGGACCTGCTGCCCAGGTAATCCTGCAGGAGATAAAGGAGCATGAAGACAGGAGTGATGGCAGGGTAGGAAGGTGATGGATACTGTCCGAAGCATTTGTTTTCAATCAGTATATTTATAATGTATAAAGAATAGCTCCACTTCAGAAGCCGTGCGAATTTTCAGCCACATGAGTATGCAGACTGGATGGCTGACTGTAGTCCAGCTGCCTGTGGTTATGATCCTGGCTTTGTTTGCCTCCTTTCTCCCTTGCATTCCTTTGCATTTTCTCCAGCTACTATTTTATTCTTTGCCAAAAATATTTTAACTTTTGGCAAAAATGACTGAAATATGAAAATGGAAACTGAACAAATTTCTACAAATGGCAGCTATGTGCAGAATTTCTTTGGCATATAATAAGAGTTTTCATGCCAGATAGTGGTTTCCTTTTCATGCCATTTTTAGATAGCAATCCATTAGGTGCAATTAATCTCTGATAAAACATCGAAGGATAAATCTAAGTGTTAATATCAATTGGAGTAGGTCCATTGAATTCATGGGACTTATGTGAATGATCATTCTAGTCCTGTTTCATAGAAAAACAGAATCCTAGAGTTGGACTAGTCCTTGTGGTCTGCAGTGCAGTAAGACACAATCACAGGACTCTTGCCAGATGGGCATCCAGCTTCTGCTTAAAAACCTCCACAGAAGAAGACTCCACCACACTCCAAGACAGCATATTCCACTGTCAAACAACTCTTATTTTTCCAAGCTAATCATACCCAGCTCCCTAAGCTGTTCCTCATAGGCCTTGGCTTCCAAACCTTTGACCATTTTGGCCACCCTTCTTTAGACACATGAGAGGGAGGGAGAAAGGGAGGGAGGGAGGGAGGGAGGGAGAGAGATTCAAATAACTTGGACCCAAGCCAGGGATATTTTTACCATGTTTTCAGATCCCTTTCGGCCATTTTACTTTGAGGAGATGCCTTTTTAGCAACTATAAATAATTTCCTCCTAATACAATAATACCCCAAGAAGGCATTTGAGTGCAATTTATTTACCCCTGGGAGAGCACTGAAAGTTGCATCTGGCTTTTCCCATTCCCTGTATTGGGTATTGTTGTGTTATACCAGCCTTTAAGACTCTATATTCGCTGCCTGCCACTATGCCAACCTTGCAGCAAACAACAGAATTTAGGAATGGCTTTCCTTTCCTTTCTCAGAAAAAGATCCTGTTGACCTGTAACTCTGGGCAGTGGGACAGATCTGTGACTTGTGATCCCGTTGACTGCCAGTTTCCAGATCAATCACATGTTCTTTATGCTGAGTTCTCTTGCCCCAAAGGGACTACCTACCTGAAACAATGTTCCTTTTCCTGCATCAAGCCAGCAAAGCTCCAAGGTATGCTGCTGAGTATTCTTTATCTCTCAGGGTGGCATTAGATTAGATGCTAGAGTGTCAGAACATAAAGTCTGTGTCTTTGCATTCTGGTCTTTGCACTAAGGTCTGAAGAGGGGACTCCATCATCTTCCCTGAGGTGATGAATGACACCAATATTTGCACATGTATTTACCAGGAAATTTAATCAATACTGTTAGATTGATTTGAGCCTGAAACTTGTTAAGTTGGTGAACCCCCTCCCAAGAATGTTGTTTTGGTAGCCAGCAGTATAAAAGGATATTTATTTATTTTTTTAAAAAAAATTGCCTTGAGATAGTCTCTATTACATAATTAAATGTTATCATCCTTGGGCCTGTCAATTTGTGGTGACCCTATGAATTTTTCAGAGGGTTTGTTGAGGTATTTTGATTATTTAGTATTCCTGGCAGAAGCTGTTTGTAGTTTTACATAATTACTCTGTTTTAATGTATAATATGAGCATTTGGCTTAAGTTAAAATGCTGTATTTGTGTGTAGGACATAGAATTTTATCCAGGTCCCACTGCTGAATGTAAAGAGATGGGATACAGATATCACAAAGTTTTCTTGCTGGCACAGACTTCTGGTCAAATCAGAAAGTGCCACCCACTCCAGCCTTTGCTGGTGTTGCAGGTTGTTTTAATTGCAAGTGAGGTAGAGGTTTTGAGATTTAAGGAGATGTTATGTTTAGAGTGACTTATTTTCAGCATTAGACTCTGGCAGATTTCATTTAGGAAAAATCAAATGCTTTCCCCCCATCCTTGAATTGGTGGGAACAGGGCTAAATGTGATGGCTTCCAGCTACTGCCACCATTATATTTTCCAACAAGCATATAATAACTGGGGCTATCTCCAGGAAAAGCAAAGTTGACCATCGATAGAAGAACTCATGTGTCCAGTCAAAAGATTCAGGAATGAAGACACAAAAAAGGAAATAACATTTGCCATCTACCCGGTGGCAAAGTGGGTTGAAGCACTGAGCTGCTGAGCTTGTTGACCGAAAGGTCGCAGGTTCGATTCCGGGGAGCAGTGTGAGCTTCCACTGTCAGCCCTAGCTTCTGCCAACCTAGCAGTTCGAAAACATGCAAATGTGAGTAGTTCAATAGGTACCACTCCGGCGGGAAGGTAATGGCGCTCCATGCAGTCATGCCGGCCACATGACCTTGGAGGTGTCTATGGACAACGCTGGCTTTTCGGCTTAGAAATGGAGATGAGCACCACACCCCAGAGTCAGACATGACTGGACTTAATGTTAGGGGACAACCTTTACCTTTACTATCTACCTTCAGAGATTGTGCTATAAAACCACTTAAGATATCTCCATAATTCCCCAAATGCTTCTTTCCCTGAGTCATTAAATATGGCTGTAGAAAATGGGATAGATGTTTCTTGACAACAAATGTGTACACTGTCCTATGAAAGATCACATTGTTATTGCAGTAATACATAAATAAATGTTCAACAATTATCAGAGGTTAGTCTATTTGAAAACGAAGGAAGGAGCTTTGTAGCACCTTTAAGTCTAACTTTTTATTTCAGAACCCACCTGTGCTCCTTTCATTACTCTTTATACTACTATTATTTATTGTACTTGTCACCCCACCACCATGCTGGAATAGTTTGGATTGAATAGTTACATTTCACATCTCACCCCACCAGTCCTATTTGTATATATGTCTAGCTACTGAGGATCACCTTCTTGCATCTGAAGAAGTGGGCTGGAATCCATGAGACTTTATGCAGTAATGAATTGATTCATGTTAAGGCAACACAAGGCTCCTTCCTTCTTTTGCTTTTAAAATTGGCTGTCATTGTTGTGGGCGGGGGGCTGGACATTGACTGGTCAGTCCCTGGACAAGATGGATTGCTCTTGAATGTAGGTTTATTTATTTATTATTTATTTGAAACATTTATAGTCTGCCCTTCTCACCCTGAAGGGGACTCAGGCGGAGCACAACATATATACGGCAAGCATTCCATGCTGGGACATAAAATAACTATAAATATACACAAACACTAAAATCAGTTATATCTACTTTAAAATCAGTTGCTAGAACTTAAATATGCTAGTTGGAGTATCCTATCCAGTCAGGGTCATTGTGCTCTCAATAATTCGCTCTCACCTGACTGGCCACAAAGATCCCTTTCCATAGGAGCTTCTGAGAGCAGCAACATGGACTTTTACCTTGTGGGCACCTCCCAGGAAATGTCAAGCAAAACATTGTATCTAATATAATGGACAAGGTTTGGGAAGATGTGGAGAAACTCTGTCAGCCAGTGGGCTATCAGTTGGCCATTCCTGGCCTATATAGTTCTGCTTCCTATTCTGAGCAGGCTCTACTTCTCTTTCTTTCCCTCTCTTGCTTGGAGTTAGGAATGAGTCAGTGGCTGACCTGCTTAGACGATGGACTGTGGTCACTTCCAGAGGCTTATTGCAAGCTGGAGTGTGACACTCCACATCCCGTTGCCAATGCTGAGTTGAAGGTGCCTGAATGCCTGAAAGAGAATCACGACGTGGGTTCTGTCTGCACTTACGAATGCAAACCTGGATACTATGTAGCAGAAACTGCAGATAAGTCCAGGAAGTGAGTAAAATCAAGAATGTTTCTTTCCTGTCAATATTTTCCTTGACATGTCCCTTTTCTTGGCAGAAGCATTTTAGTCTATCTGGATTATAATACCCTTTTATGATAAACTTGCTTTTTTCAAATCGGGTTTTGGGTTTTTTTGTTTTTTGCAAGTGCACACCCTCTTCCTCACCTTGTCCTCTTATTTTTGGGGAGGGTGCCCATCTTGTCTTTTCAGCTATTCAACATTTTAGTTCCTGTTTAGGATAAGGGAGTGAATGGTAAGAGTATGATAGCTGATACCAAGTGCTGGTAACGCTACACTGATTCCGGAACGCTACTTTGCCAACGCTGATAGTGCAATACGGCCACAGGATACCACTGAACTCAGTTAATTCCTTCCCTGCTTATTGTCTCCCCCTTCCTGTTCCTCCCTTTCTGACCCACGTTTGGCTTGTCTTCCGTTCCTACGAATTATCTTGCCGACTGTGTGCCGCCTGCGTCTCTCACTCCGCCCGGTCTCACTCCGCCCGCTCTCGCGACCATGTGGTCACATACATGTTCCTCGTTCACAACCACAGTTGTGGAATCAGCGTAGCACTCACTATATAACAACAATAACAACAACAAGAATAACAAGAATAACAACAATACTTTATTTATATTCCGCTCTATCTCCCCAAAGAGACTCAGGACAGATTCCAAACATAAAAGGAATACAACAACAATACATCCATACTAACAAAATGTATACAACCCAACATATAAATACTAATTAAATTATAACTTAACAAACTAAAATTAAATAAAAAGCACAGCCTGTTATAACAGACATAAAACAAAACATCAAACATCCAATGGAAAACAATATTTTCCCATTTCTTTGGGACAAATTTATTAATCATAGCTCAAGATATCTATTGAGCTGGTGGGGTGAGCAAGCACTACCAGCACTTGGCACCAACTATCATACTTTTACCGAGTGAATAGTTATGAGTCTTTCAATATGCATTTTTTCACAGGATAACTGTTGGATGATAATGCCATCACAGATCTATCCTTATGATTTCTTCTGCACATGCTCAGTGGGAAGGCAACAAGTGACCATGTGCTTACTCTGCCTTTTTCATGACTTGTAAGCCAGTCACAATTTCTTCATCTCCATTGTCTCTTATCAAGAAATGCTCTTAACAGACGTTTGGGATACTGTAGTGCAGTGGTTCTCAACCTGGGGTCCCCGGATGTTTTTGGCCTACAACTCCCAGAAATCCCAGCCAGTTTACCAGCTTTTAGGATTTCTGGGAGTTGAAGGCCAAAAACATCTGAGGACCCCAGGTTGAGAACCACTGCTGTAGTGGGTACATTGGCTAGTTTTCATTCTTGCTGCAGGTTTCACCACCCTGTTTTGAACACATTTTCAGGTGAAAACCAAATTGTAAGCAGCATTTGATTTTCATATCCAGCTTTTATAGAGTTTAAGAGAGGTGGAGGAATGTTTCATGTAAAGATTTCTAGAAACCTCTGGGAGCAGTAATTTATTGTCATGCAGTGGGTGTGTTATGCCTTGCGGAGGCAAAACAAATCAGTAACGTGTGGGGAAAACTCTTGGGGCTGTATATGGTGTATGCCTTGGCCCTTCCTGGAGTTTTTGTCCTACACATGTGAACTCCCCCTATACATTACTGTTTAAACTTAGTAATCTTTGAGCTTTGTTCCATTAGTGCTTCATTTCATTTGGTTTATTTGTTCACTGACATTACTTTCTTCTCACTAATGTGTTTGCTATTATGCAAAGATGTGTTTTAAAATTAGCACATTGACCTCTGCCCGCTAGTCTCAGCAGTCCCTAATGATAGCTAATTATCAGTTCCCAATGATAGCTAACTGCTTCAAAGTGTGATATAATTAGGCAATAATTGTGCATTGCTATTGGATTGTCATAAGATCCTTATTCCTAACAATATATCGGTGCTTGACATTGTTCTAACAGGCAGAAACTCCACAGGCACATAATTATGCACTGCCATACTCAACAATTCCAGCAACTATAGTCTGTCTTGATAAAAAAAATCCACCCATAGAACTGAAAGAATATACTAAGGACAGTAACCCCAATTTGGGGGGGGGGAGTGGGCGTGTCATATTACCATGGTGTTTAGTCCTGTAGCATTACAAAGCACATAGTTCTGTTTGTGATTTCTTATTACATGTTTTTCTTTCTTGCCTTTTCTCCATTTTCAGATTTATTACATAAGCGAGTGCAGTTTCTGCCCACTTCATTTAAAAAAAACCTCTGGGCATACTTGGATTTCCCCTTTCTCCAAACCTGACATTCTGGCGTAGAGCTGAAGCACTGATTTTAAAGAGACACCATTCTGGGAATACTGGGCTTTCCTCCCAATCTCAGTAGTCTCCATTGCAGAAGTCCTAAACTTAAGAAGCTAGCAGTACAGACATGCAAAACAAATATATTATCAAAATTTGGTATTTCTAATGGTTAAATCCATTTTTAAAAATTGATTTATGATGGGCATGGAGAGGAGGTCCCCTTGTAGAAGGGCTCCATCACACATCATTATCTCATTGTTTTCAAAGTGTCAAGAAATGAAGGGGGGCAGTGTGGGATAATGTTCTAAGAAATCTGTATGTTGTTCGCCACTATATTAAGGACTTAAGCCATTGTTCTGTGGCCAGCAAAATTAACTCCAAGATGCTAGATAAAAATGTAAATAGCCTAGCTAGTTTTCTTTAGTCTCCTTTCCTTTCCTATTGCCTTGCTAGGTCCATGTAGATTAAAAATGCTTATCCAGAATTCCTAGCTGGTAATGAAGATTTTTTTGCAAAATTTTCAACAATTTGCAGCAAATCAAGCTAGAAATTAATGTGGAAAGAGGAAACGGTGACATTTTGAGAGAATCTGAAAAAATGGGATAGCTGAGGATTCATTGGTTTATCCCTGCTAAACAGTTGGAGGATATGAAATGCTACTTCCAGGCGAGTGCTGCTGCCCTCACCAGTGCTGGCAGCTGAGCCAAAGAGTTCCTTAGATCTGATACTAGCCTACAAATCATTTGATCTGTGTTCGCTTCGGCAGCACATATACTAAAATTGGAACGATACAGAGAAGATTACAAATCATTTGATCTACCACTGAGCCACTGAGCTATAGGTTGGCCCCCAATGGGTGTGGAAAAATTGATAGAAAAGGTGTATTCTGGTTCTTTTCAAGGCAGGCAATGTGTTTTTCTGTGTGGAATGACTTTTCTGGAAGTCTTGCAATTAAGTTATCATTTCTCCTTTCTTTGCCACTTCGAAGATGTTTCTTTCTGTTTCAGCATGTTATCAACATTCTCATCAACTTTTTCTCACAAAAGCTTTCAGCTCCTTATTAAATTAACTTTGCATTTTAGATGTGGGGGCTAATACTGAGAAATGGTAATATGCTTAAGAGAAGCTCATTACATTCATAGTAGAGGTGAAATCCTAAGCAGGGGCTTTTTGAATTTAAGCTCCTTGGCTATAAAAATGTTATCCATATCGTTTGTATGTGTAAAGTGGGAGAACAATAATATACAGAGAAAGTAGGAAAGAAAAATAAGAAAATGGCAGAAATATATAAGGAATGATTTTCCCCTTATTTTCCCTTATTACCCTCCCCTTACCCCTTTTTACTTTTAATATATATTTAAAAAGTTATCCATATCCTGGCCATTGCATTTTGTGAAAAAATGTAATATAGACAAGACATCTATCTATCTATCTATCTATCTATCTATCTATCTATCTGTATAAAGCCAGCATGGTATAGTAGTTTGAGGGCTAACAGGGTTTGAATCCCTATTCAGCCATGAGTTCCACTGGGTGATCTTGGGCAAATCACAGTTTCTTGGGCCCTTCCAGACAGGCCCTATATCTCAGAATCGGATCCCAGGTTTTTTGTTTATCCTGGATTATCTGGCAGTGTGGACTCATATAATTCAGTTTAAAGTGGAAAACCTGGAATTAGATCATTGAATGTAGGGCCTGTCTGCAGAGGCAGCCCTAGGTAATTTTCAACGGTAAGCAAACAGTATTTTGGCAACACCCCCCCCCCCGCCCCACCAATCACTGATATATATTTTCTGTTCGTCGTGGGAGTTCTGTGTGCCATATTTGGTTCAATTCCATCATTGGTGGAGTTCAGAATGCTCTTTGATTGTAGGTGAACTATACATCCCAGTAACTACAACTCGCATATGTCAAGGTCTATTTTCCCCCAAGAGCGCCTCAAGAGCGCTCCTGGGCAAAATCAACTATACTGCAAATGCTTACTTTGCATAATGAGTTGAGCCGCCCCTACCTGTCAGTATTCTTGTGTAACTAAGTCAGAACTGTTTATGTAACCATTACGCTTTCAAGACAAATCTCTGTAACAGCTGAAGTTAGTACCTGCATTGTTCCTGTTCTTGTAAATAAACTTCATTGTTTAGTTTTCATTACATCTGACTCAAGTGTGCCTCTGTGCTTAAAGGTTCAAATGCAGCTTTAAGCAGAAGTCAAGGTCTATTTTCCCCCAAGAGCGCCTCAAGAGCGCCCCTGGGCAAAATCAACGCTACTGCAAATGCTTACTTTGCGTAATGGTTTGAGCCGCCCCTGCCTGTCTGGAAGGGCCCTCAGCATAATAAGGAGGCAATGGGAAACTTCACTGAATAATTTTTGGCAAAGAAATTTTAGAATAGGGCCACCCAGCGTCAACCTGAAGGCATATAACTTCTTTTTTTTAAAAAAATCAATACTGAGAGCAATATTTTTAAAATAAATGGGAGGAAAACCATAAAGTAGGCTAAAGAGTTATGAAGGACTATGCCATAGTAATTACAGTGTAAACTGCATGATGAAAGTTCTTGTGGTCATTAAAATCTAGAGTCTCTAAGTTTAGGACAATTATATGCACGTTCCTTTATAAATGGATTGGCCAAGTACAGTGTAATCCCTATCTCAGTATGTTGGGATGGGTAACTGCATTTTAGCTGAGCAAA